TCTGCGGCCGCAGCGTGAGATGCTCAAGCCTGGAGGGTTTGGCTTCGAGCCTTCAACCCCCCACACAAACAGCCCCAGCAAAGCTCCTCTAGTTACCAAACCCCCCCCGTCTGCACCTTCCAGAGCTACCGGCCAACATCTGTCTCGCCTTTAAGCACAGCAGTGGTGCGATGCTTTTATTGAGGGGCTATCAGACGTGGTAAACGCCTCCACAACTTCTCGATCGGAGTGTTTTCCCCTGCCACACGACGTCACAGGTATCACTACTTACTTGCAGTAAAATTCCTGGTGCTGGTGAGCTGGAAAAGTACACAGCTTGGCCGAGGGATCCCGTGGAGTTGTTTTGGGGTATTTTGGGGGGGTCAAACAACTCACATGGAGTATTACAGAACAAATGCTACTGTCTGTTGCACTGTTTGAGTAAGTCAGACTAAAGCCGAGAGCTGGAGGCTCCTTTGCTGGCCCTTGCGCGCAGGGCTGGGTACCGCTCCAGCCCTCTGGACGCTCAACACCAGGAATAGTGTCACTGCAGCCCCCCATGCCAGAAAAACCACAATGAGCGAAAGAAACTAATGAGAAGAGTTTCAAAAACTGGGTTTTTTTTGCGGTTTTTTTTAAGGGAAAACTAAATGTGCCGTTTTGTCCAGATTGCTGTCGGGTAAAGTATTAGCAAGATCTCTACCAGCTGATGCGTATGTGACAGACGCAGGCGCTATGGGCCAAAGTGATGCCTCCCAGACCGCGCCGGCACCAAGAGCATCGCCCCGGGGAGGAATCTATGCTGCTGTGGGACAGCACATAGTTACATTTATTTTGCATGGGAAAAATTAACCCCATGGAAAGATGCAGGTTTAACGGAGTGGGTTTAATGGTTCTGCATTCCTGTTTTATTGAATCTGCTTTAAGAAATGAAGAACCTACCAACCCACCTGACTAAAGATTTTCAGCATTACAGGTCAACATTTTTGGAATAGGTCCTTCTCTCTGTCTTTCCTATTGAGATCTCCATTAGCACCTACTGGAAGTAATACATTATGTTTGCATGCGTTTCATCCAGATGGAAGTGCAACTGTGTCAGTAAGCAGGGTGGACTGCCGAGACAATTTGGATAATGGAAAGAAGCTTGCTATAAGCAGATAAGCAAGAATAAAAACATGTACAAATCTCAGAGCGCTTACACAATCCTTACGTGAAGCTCTATACTGCAGCTAGATTATTTTCTCAGGTTAACAAGAGAGTGAATTATAACACTGACTTAAACGCTTACTAACGTGTATGATCTCCAAGGCTTAGAGCATCACCTATCAGCCTCACACTGCAACTGTAAATAAAAAGGAATCTGATGCAGGGGCAAGGTGATTGTGGTGGTCCCAGTCCTGGTGGCCACCGGCACCGTCCCCATGCGGTGCAGCCATGCGCCTGGGCAAGCTGTGCTCAGAGCTCGGTGCCCACTGGGGACCAGGACCATCCTCAGGCAGGGCGGTGGGCAAACAGAGGCTGGTCATGGCTTCCTGCGAGCGTGGTGCATGGAAGACAAAACCATGGGTTATCTGAAACTGGCATTTAATCTGAGCCCCAAAATAACAGTTTTATTATGCTGCCCTTACATAAGCTTCTTTAAAACTCAAAGGAAACACAGATTTTACTTTTTTTTAAAACTGCATCTGTGTCTTTGGTCGGGATTAGGGATGTAATTGTGCATGATGACACAGGCTTCTTAGGCATGTCACTCTTGCTCGCACACAAAAGTGCAGTCCCCGAGGATGACTGCTGGCTGGAACCTGCAAGGTATTCAGAGGAATGTCTCTCATTTCTCCTACTTCAATGAGGGAATTTACTTCAGCTTAACAAGGAAAGTTTTGAAGCAAATCGATACGAGACGAAGTGCATAATGTATGGAAATTACATTTTAATAAGAACCGTTGGCAGGTTTGCAACTTAGATTGTGGTGTATTTTCCTCGCCTGTCTCTCTTGTTGCCTCTCCACCACCCTGCATCTATTCTTCACCGTCCTGGTTCCTACCTCTTGCACAAACACATTCAAACCCAAACCCAAAACATTTGGGCTGACAAAACCAAGCTAAACTCGGCACGCTTTTCTTTTTCCCGTGCTCATACAGCACGTTTGTTCTGCGTGCGACTGCTTCATTAAGAACGAGGTATGCCATGGATCAGAAAGTAATTAAACAGTCAGACACTCCCCCTCTAAATACTGATAAAACATTGCAGCCGTTAACTCTTTCACTCTGCCACGCATTGCAAAAACCACCAGGCTCGCTCCGCCGCGGGGTCCGATGCCGGGTAAAGCAAGCCCACGGCTGCCTCCCCACGCGCGGGCAAGCAGAGCCAGCCGGGCTGCTGCGGGCAGGAGGCAGTGGAGCGGCTCTCTTTGGGGCTGGGGTGGGATCCGCTCTCCCTCCCAACAGCCTCATAAATTCGGTGGCTCGCCCGCCATCTGAAGCTGGTTTTGCTGATAAAGCCTCAGCCGTTCCCGCAAAGTTGTGGCAATTGTTCGATATGCATTTTTTTAGGCATTTTCAGCTGACCGTGGACCCCTGCCAGCATTGCAGGGAGAGCTTGGTAAGGAAGAGGGAGAAGCAGAAGGGTTTATGGAAAAAAAAAAAATAGAAAAAAAAAGAAAGGTTTTGCAGTCACAGTGAGAACTCAAACTCCACCCCAGCTCACAGGCAGCGCCGCTTGTTGCACGCAGCCCCGCGTATAAAGTGCTTTTGTTTCATTTTTAATACACAAAGCCTGCTTCTCCTCTCCTGCCGCTCCTCCCCTTTGCCACCCACTTGTATCCGATCCCAATGGCACCCCTGCCAAGAGAATTAGGGAGTGCTCCCTGCTAAATGGCAGCCTTTGTGTGACCGCAAGACGGCTGGTACTATCTCACAGAAACAAAAGCAGAAGCCATTTGCCTAATTCTTATTAATCTCAGTTGCCTACGCCACGCAGCATTAAAAAAAAAAAGAAAGAAAAAAGGCTTTAAACACATTCACTTGCAGTATATAAAAGTGCATCAAGAAGCGATCCTGACACTCGCCTGAATTACCCGTTCACAACAAAGTAGCTACAGTTTTACAGTCAACTACACACTTTATTAAACAAACAGAAAAGAAACAGGAAATTTCCCCTTGCCTGGAAAATGTTGCCTCCACATTCTTCTTCTTATTAAAAACCACACATGGCAGTGGAGGAGGAGGGAGGGAGGAGGAGGGGGGGAAACCCACACACGATAAAATACTACCACTTTTCAGTGCGTTGCTTCTCCTTTCGTCTACGAGGGGGTATCTTCAAACAAGCAATCCCACGGCCCACAGCTGCAACATCTCAAGACAAATGTCTCTTTGAACACGGAGGGAAAAGAAAAGGCTTTTGTCCTGAGCCACAGAAGAATAGTCTGAAATTGCGAGAGGAGTTACAGTCACCTCTGCGCGGCTCCCAACTCTTCAGAGCACTCCCTCCAGACTTTGCCGAAGCTTTTAACTAATCGTAGTTCTTTCCCAGCCCTTGAATAAAATCATGTGAGTGCCAGCCAAAAAATCTTATGCTATGCACACTAAAGGGTTTGTATATGTCACAGTTGCTTTTTCCCCCTTCTTCTCCCCTCCTCCTATTGACTTGCACATACGGCGTTTTTTTCGAGTCGTCTCAAATGGATTTAATCTGTGCCACGCTGCGTTTTATGTTTGTTTGGGTTTTTTTGTGTGTGTTTTTTTTTAAACTTAAAAATGAAACATGCCTTTCCATGCAGAGTATATTGAACGAGGCTCCAGAAACAGGCTGATAGCCTTTAGCACCACAGCAGCACCACAAAAACAAACACAAAGCACTGGGGGAAAGCAAGGCTGCACTGATCTCACCTAGGGCCCAGAAATGAAGGGCCAAATTCTTTCTTGATGTGTAAATCCACTGGTTTTCACCATCAGAAATTACACTCGCTTGCTGGAAGGATTCACATCTTGGAGGCACCCATCTCCTGGTCCTGCCCAGTTTGTCCCAAATAGGTAAAAGCAGCCCCGTATCATCATTGTCCCAATCCCAAACCCCTGCAGGGCGTGGGGAAGTGCTTTCCATGGGACACAGTGAAGGAGGGCAGGTCGTACCTGTGCAAAACCCCGTCTCCAGAGCATGCAGCAGCTCACAGCTTGGAGCAGTTGTTTTTTTCACTTTCTAGTCACCATCTTCATTGCCAGCGGCAGCAACAGCTAAAGACAATCCTCATCCAAGAAATGAGGAAAAAAATCTGCATCTCGCTCCCAGTTTAATACTGTTAGTGCTGCATCTTACTACTTATCATTCCCTGGTTGAAGAACAGTGTAAGTTAGTTAACAGAGGGATCTAGGTGGCCTTTGTGCAAACTACCTTGGATCCATCAAACTGATTTTCAGCTGTAGAAGCCAAAACTGAACCAAAGTGCTGCCGGTGCACTGGTGGTACTGGCTACCGTGCTTTACCTGGGACAAATGCTGTACATAAGGAAATCTGCCAGCAGTAAGTTTAACCTGCGCAGACCTATGTTTCTCCATCACCATTTCATCAACACCCTCCTGGTTCAACACTCCTCCCCCTGGGCAGACCGGGGGGTCTGAACCACCCAGAGCCAGTCCGAGGGAGAAACGGGTGGCAATTCATCGGCACACATAGCCCCCTGCTAGGTAAGGGTCCTGCTGACCCTGCCAGATGCTTCTGGATGCCCAGCAGAGTCCTGGAATCAGAAGACAGGATCAGGAATAAGGAGAACAAAGGTTTATTTCCCAAAGCTGGTACTGACTTGTAACATAAACATCAAAAGGCCTGTCAGCCTCCCTAAAATCCACTCACCACGTACAAGACAAGGGGATTTAGGCCCATCTTTCTCTTCAGCTTACATTGCCATTGCTTGAGCGCTCCCAATCTTCCAGAGTTTTACTGTCCCAGCCATCACCCCCACTAGACAAGCCGGAAAGCTGGGGTCCCACAGTGCCTTTCTGAGGTGGCTCAGGGGTCCCCTTGGCAGCCCTGGACCATCCTCTCTGTGGGCTGTAAACCAGCACTGATCCTGCTTCGGGGTGCACAGAGGGGAAACCTCTGTGGGTCACAGACACTTGAAACCACATGGGGTGGTGGTTTCAAGCTGTTGCAGTATCACTTGCATGCAGAAAGGTGTAAGCGAGTTGTGAAGGTGCCACGAACAAGTGCTGAAGGAAGGTTTCTGTACTGACAGGCATGTTTTTGGAAAGCACTGCGGAGAGAATGACCCTCCTCACCTACAGTGTTCTAAGTGATGCTCTTTCTTTCACTTAACTTTTCCTGTTAATAAATGCTTCTCATAATAAATGCATATGAAAAATGGAATAAGATGCAGTCTTTGTCTCGCAGTCAGGGGAAAACAGTTATTTCTAATTGTAAATACTCTGGAGGCACTTGGTACTGTACAGATAGAAGCCACACAAATACACAGCCAGTTTAGAAAGTGACATCAAATCTCATTTTTATAAATAATTGTGATGTGGGTTTTTTTAAAGCAAAGCATCTTTGAGACTGCCAGGTTCCTACCGGGAAAAGACTGCGAAATCTTCCTGTTCAGAAGACACCTGGGTGTTTGAACCGATGTCTGTAGCGCAGCTGGAGCTGACAGGCTCCACACTCGCACCAGGGCTGCCACAGGGAAGGAGGATGATGGCAAAGCAGAGGCGACTGCTGGAAAAACCCACAGGTTCATGGCAGTCCCCTCCGGCAAGGGAAATCACGCTTCAGAGAAACTCCTGAGCTCCAGATGGGCATTTTGCCAGATGGGCAAAAAGGCAGCAAGGTCTGTCCTCCCCTGTGAGGGGCAGGGTTTCTGCCAGAAAGGAAAAGCCTCATACTTGCCATCGGGAAGAGCCTGTGCAAACTCCTGACCTCGCCAGCACATTTCCTCCCGTCAGCACATAAAAGCTGTTTTTTTGCCAGTTCCCTTTTCAGATAACTATTCAGGGCTTCCTTTAAGAATGTATTTTAAAAAATTCATAGGATAAAACGATATCCTTATTAGGTGATATGAACACCATGATTACAGTCCCCAGCTGAACTACAGAAGCCGATAGCAACCACAAAGAAATGCTCGGTAAAAATAGGGTGAGTATGTATTTATGGTAGTTTCTTGCTCTTATTTGAATTCCTGTAGATACAGACACCAGAAACAGATACACCTTTTCGCCTCCTTTTGCGTACCCCCATTAAAGCACTGAGATACGCGTAACCCACTGCTGATGCCGTGGGGATGCTGTCTCGGGGCAGGAAAGTACAAGCTTTGCAAAACTCTAGAGCACTCTTCTATGAAGTAATCTCTGGACTGAACTAAATCTCATCCAGGAGCACTCCAGATATAAAGTATAGAGTATATAAACTGGTGTAATACAATAAAAAAAGATAATAGTAATACGTAGCCTCTGCTGCATACTTGGCATACCAAATTGTCAGTGTTTTGGTTATTCCCAGACTGCCAGGTTGGTAAATCTGTGCCTACGAGCACCAACCTGTGACCTTCTGCCCCAGCTCACAGGTGGGTTAAGAGGAGTGACTTCAGGAGGAGCTTAGCAAGATCTTAGGGAGAAACTCCTAGTGGCCAGGCAAGGCAGTGGGACACAGGGTGCCCGAGGGACGTGCTGGCCCTGAGGGCCGGTTGGGGACCCTGAGAAGCAGGAGTGTGGAGCAAGGGACGGATGGGATGGTGAGTCCAGGGGAGGCAGTGGGAGCTGCCAGGACATGCAAGAGAGATGGCAGAGCAGATGGGAGAGGCCATATGGGGTGGTGAGGGATGCTACCAGGAAAGCTAAAAGAAGCACCTGGAAGAAAAAATGCTTGCTCAGAGGAGCTCAGTTTCTTGTGTGTTTTTTTTTTTTTTTTTTTTTTTTTTAAGAGAGGGATGGGAAAAAAGGGGAAAAAAACAGCTAGAGTTTGTGTTGTGGTTATGATTCAGACACCGCACAGACTTTCATCCTGTCCCACTGCCCAGGGCTGAGCTTTGCAGCTTCTATTAAAACAGTATGGAGAAGATAGCAAAAAACCCAATCAATTCTCCTCAAACATGCTCCATTACTAAGCCCAGTGCTGAAAACATTGTATTTGTAGTGCTTAGCAGATGGCTTTCTTGATGTTATCCAGAAACCTGAGAAAATACTTTCTCTCCAGTGCTGCGACTTCAGCTGCAGTATATACTCTTTACATTTCATACGTGTGACATTTACCTCTGAGACACACATCCCAGCCATACGGCATCACACAGGAGGGACAACATCCCACGCCATCTCTCCTCTGGGTCCCTTCCTATCCTCTCTATCCATTTATATTTTCCCTTCCATCCAAATGGAAACAAACTACAGTAGTAAAAAACAAACGAGATGCTCCAGGAAATGGACAGCTTGCCTTTTTTTTTAAAAAAAAAAAGATAAAATAAAATGAAGGAGAATGATGTTGATGCTTTACATGAGGGCACAGGGGAGAGCCACTGATATTTGCCATCTGGGCAGGAGGCTGCCTGGACTTCAGATCACCCTGAGGGATTCGGAGGCTTTAAAGACATTTTGGAAGATGAGATGTAAAAAAAAAAAAAAAAAGATGAGCCTGCCGACCGGCAGTGGCAGCCTTGGCACAGGGACAGCCCAAAACACCGCTGCCTGAGACCACCATGAGACCAGCAGCGGGGCAAACTCAGTTTTATCATGCAGACAGACAACTGACAGCCCTATGGTTTACACTGGAAACTTCCCTCAAATGAAAAAAAAAAAAGGTAATCCATCAAAGCAGGCACTTGGATTCAGCTTTCGGGAAGCAAGAGGGGTTGAATCAGACTAGCTGTCCGTGTGCCACTGACACCTTCTAAACTTGCTTTTGTACATTAATTATAAGTGATTCTGAGTGGAAAATAAAGAAAACACCATGTTGTGAGATACTTGTAGGAATTAAATTATGCTGGCATTAACCACTGACAGTAGTCCTTCCCATTACTCTGGACAAAAGTGCTATCAATCTTTTAAGCAAGATACACATAGGGCTTTCTATACACTGCTCTGCTTTGCTGCTGGCATTTCTGAGATCCACAGGAGGTTTTCTGTAGATCACAGAAGAGGGTTGAGGCAGCGTGGGAGGAGTTTCTGTGATGGGGAGGAAAGTGGTTGCCGTTCACTGTCGGCTTACAGTGTTCCCTGTACGGTGATGCTCCTACTGCACAGATGAGCAAGCCGGAGAAACAGGACCACTTTGCTGGGGTAGGAGCCAGGGCAGCCTTTGGGAAGATAAATCCTCCTCTCCACATCCACCTGTAGCTGTTGTCAGCTCAAGTAATTTGTTCACAGCAAGAATGGAGAACAACCC